CTCTCTCGCTTCCCTCCCTCCCTCCCTCCCTCCCTCCTCTCTACAATCAATGAATAAAAAAAGTGCTAAAAATGTTTTAAAATTTTTGTTTATTTAGATCTGGTGTTATTGTTAAAAGGGATACAAATTCTTAAACGTGTCAAGAGCATTATTTAAGTTTTTATATCAGCTTTAACAATGACTATGATTTACATAAAATGAGAATACTTTCTTTTTGGTTTTTCTCAGCATCCTTACTCCATTAACAATGGATATGTATGCCTGGACTCGAGAACAAGCTGTATTATATGATGGAATAATACTTGCTGCTCTTGGAATTGAGGCTGTTATTATTTTCATGGGAATTAAATCACTTGCCAAAAAGTAAGTTATATGTCTTTGGTTTTGTTCCCAATCTGTATTTTAAAAGTGAAACATGTAACAGTTAACAATGTAAATGAATGTGTTAGTAAAACAATTGAAAGCTTTTCTCTTTTTATGTGGTAGTTTTAGTCTTTGAACATTTGAAAATAGATGTAAAGCTTATTAAGGGAGCATATTTCTAAACCATATGGCATATTCTTTAGTAAAGCAATATATTTACAAAGTGAATAATTGCCTTCTAATGTAGCATCTGTTTATTATATTTTACTTAAAGTATTTCTAAAAGTGTATTTCATAGAACGTTATTCTGCTGCATGGTAATATATGTTACACAACAAAAAAGATTCAGTGGTTAAATCTGGAAAATTCTGGTTAAAATTACCAAACTTCTTTACTCTAAATCTTCAGTATATACATACTATATCACCATCATGACAAATACAGCATGTAGCATTTCTGAAAGTTATTTGTAACTTTGACCACAGAACACTTTCTAAAAAAAGCATTTTGTATGAGGACTACTGTAAAGAACACACTTTGGGGCAAATGCTGGTATAAAATTAAATTCATTCATATAGTCTGGGGTGGGATATTAGTAGATGAAGTTATACAGATCAAACAATTATTCCTAAAATATGTTAATAATATACAACTCAAGTAAAGTTCTAAAATCAATGAATAAATATTGAGTCAGTATGTAGGGTTGGGTGTTATGGGTATACCATTGAAGAGCCCAGTAGAGGGCCAAGATGTAGATATAGATGACAAATTCATATTCAAAGTTAATTAATAGTAAATGTATTATATCTTGCTACAGAAGTAGAGCTGTCCTGCTAATAGGCATTCATACTGATTGTCCAATTCTATACCTTCAAAGAGCTTGAATTCTATTGGGGAGAAAGCCAATGCAAAGGTGAATTTAATTGGAGAGAAAGCCAATGAATGCAAAGGTGAGGTCAGGTTGTGATAAAGTACTATGAAGAAGAGCAGAACAGAGGAAGAGAATAGAGTGGTAGGAGTGGGTAGGGAGAGAGGGGAAGTGCTGTTTTGATAGAGTGCTTAAGGAAGGCATGCTTGAGGAGGTCACATCCAAGCAGAGACCTGAGTGAAGTCACAGAGCAGCCTTGGAGTGGCTTGGAACTCTACTCCCACATTAGACTGAGCTTTGCATGTTTAAGGAACAAGCAGGAAGGCCAGTTTGGCCAGAGCAGAGTGAGAGGAATAAGGTAGATCAGGTTGGAAAAATGTGAATCCTTGGAGGTATTCTAAGAGAGTTGGGAAGAGTTTGGGTTTGTTTTAAGAAGCCTTTGGTTTTGTTTGTATATTTCACTTTTTATTGTGGAGAATTTCTAATATATACAAAGGTACAGAGAGCATCATGCACTGAATCTCCAATATGCATTACCCAGCTTCAACAATGATAAACACTTGCATACTTTTGATTCATCTGTACCTCCACATTCCCTACCCCCTACACCTGGATTCTTTTGAAGTCAATCCCAGACATTATTTCATGTCTGCCATAAATATTTCAGTATGTATCTCTAAAAGTTAATGCTGACATTATCACATCTATAAAAGTTAAGTGATTTATAAATAAAATAAAATATCCAGGCAGTATTCACATTTTCTCTACCGTTTCCATCCTGTTTGTTTGTTCTTTGTTTTGTTCCATAGCTTAATCACTTGATTGAGGCTCTCAAGTGTCTTCTCTTTTAATCTAATCTTTTCCACCTCACTCTCTCTTTTTCCTTTACAAATTGAACAAATTATTTGCCCTTGGATGCAGATAGTGGGGTGGTGAGTGCCTGGGGTGGGGGGCGAGGGTTTTTTTTTAATTAAAATAAATTTTCCTGTCTCTATTTCTCAAAAATTGATACTTAGAAAGGCAGCGAGAAATTTTTTGCTGCACTGAACTTCCTAGTTGTCTACATATTTCATTGAAAAACAAAACTAATTATGATCTTTCCTAAATAAAATAAATTTGATACTTACTTAGATCTGGAAGTTTAATGAGATTTGAGTTTAATTTTTTTTAAAAATAAATCTTTATTGTTCAGATTATTACAGTTGTTCCCCCATTTTCCCCCCATAGCTCCCCTCCACCCAGTTCCCACCCCACCCTCTGCCCTTACCCCCCCACTGTCCTCATCCATAGGTGTACGCTTTTTGTCGCCGGGTCAAAGGTCATACACATGGAAAATGTAGCTATTTCCATCCGCAACGTGTCCCTGTGCTCGGAAAGGTCTCTCACAACTTGTTCACGCTCTACTCAGAAAGGGTACGGAGCCACGTAACGGCTTTTTAAAATAACGTTTCTTCTTATGTTTAAAATGAGGATTTCACTACCAGAAGTGAGGAGAAAGCAACACTAGAGCTGCTCTCGCCCCTCTCACCCTTCGGGTGATGGTTGTGCGTGGGGCTGCGAGCTGGTTCGCGGGCCGTCGACGAAGCCGTCTGGGCGGCTCGCGTGGTTCCACCGGCTTCCCAGGGGCCTTCGCAGTCTCACAGGGACCGTTGCAGCCACACAGGGGCCGTCACAGCCTCACAGGGGCCGTCGCAGCCTCGCAGGGGCCGTCGCAGCCTTTTATTTTTTTAAAAAAGAAAAGTGCTCCAGGCAATGATTTAAGCCCATGGCCTAATTTTCAAACAGGATTTTACTTAAACAATGTCAACCAGTCAGTGGCCACTCTAATTTTAAAGCCCAAATGATAAGAAGACTCCATTCCAATAGCAAACCCGTACTGCCAGAAAGTTCTAGTAAACCTATTTCTCTAACCCAGAGAGTTCAGAAAAAGGTCTCTCATTCTATCCTAAAAGAATTGTATATCTTTGTGTTTATACATGTATGTATCAATAGCATCATATAAAAACAACCGTTTCTCAATCAAATGTTTTCTTAAGACCACTGGAGGCATGAGATTGGCTTCACAAATACACTGAACACATTCGGTAAGGGCAAAGATCACTTTCTTCCACTCCAGTGTCCCCAAAGTGTTCCATTACTTGAGAGGTCAGGAATTCTCCCATGTCTTCTGACACATGGCCTCACGGACACTGCCTGCCACTCCCCTCCTACTCTAGAGCAAGAGAGAGATTGTTTCTATGTAGAGATGACCCACACAATGAATTCTTTAAAAATAGTCATTTTTAGCTACATGCTCAGTCTCTTTGACTTCAACCTATTCAGCTCTCCATTTATGTCTGAACTAGTGGCCCCATGCACAAATTTGTGCACATTGAAAGGAAATTAATTAGAAGAAATATTTTAATATCGCTATTCACCCTTTCTCTATAATAAAAGTGCCAACCAAATTCACGATTGACAATGACAGATCGAAACACACGCGTGCGATTGGCGCCAGTGAGAGCTTTATATGTACCGTGCATGGGTGAGTCAACTTAGCCTTTTATATATAAAGAATAAACTCGCTTAATTAGACCTGCTTTCTGATTTAGCTAAACTTTTTCCAGCCCAAGGAAGCACCCCAACTTCTCTTTCAGGTAATTGTCAGCAACACAGCAAATATCAACACGAAGCAGATTATTATTGTAGATCACACAGGGAAAAGAAAGGGTAAAATCTTTAACTGTAGCAGTGTTTGACTATATTCTGCACAGTGAGAAAACCTGAAGTCATTTTCAAGGTCCACCATTTCTTCTTTCAGTCAGGTCAAGT